GGGAAGAACAACGGGATTGACTCGAAGCTGGGAGCACGCAAAATCGCCTCTGTTGGGAATGACAAGCAGAAGAGGTATGTTACAAAAGCATTTCTACAATGGCTCTACATAGCTTTCAGCCACCACAATTCATACCATTTTCTGGAATTGGGCCTTGTTAAATGCCAAGCACCGACGTGCCCGGAGCGCCCACGCGGAGAGCAGGGGCTCATTAGCTAATTGTGTCTGCATCTAGCAGAGGATGCGGACAGGGCACGGGGAGAGACCTGCTGAAGAGCAATTGGAAAGGAGAAAAACAAATTTGGTTTTGTAGGTGACAGTAAAGGAATGTTTACATGGGTGTTTGGGAAGGGAGGGACAGAGGTTTATGCAGAAACGAGCAAACTTGCTGTCTGCTGCCACAAAACCATTTACTCTCCAAGGTGTTCCATTCTACAATATATCGATGTAAATATTTCAAAAGCCTCCAGGCTGCTGTCCCACACTCCGCTTCAGCTTATTTACCTACAGCTACTGGTTTCAACAAAGCTCACTAACAAAATACACAAGTCTTTCCACGTTCCCAACCCTTGTTCCGCTACACAGCCAAATTTGTTAAGAGGCAGCTTCAGACACACAGGAGCGCCCTCGGAGGCGGCTCTCTCCCTGAACCCTCAGGATTGGGGGGGGGAAGGTGGGTCAGGTCTCTGCTTGGAGTCCAGCCCTTCCACAGCGACTCTCTGCACTGTGCCCCTTATCTAGAAGCTAAGCCGAAAGCAGCATGCGACACCTGGAAGATGAAACCCCCTTCTCGCCAGTACGAGGTGGCAAGAGAGACGCGACGCAAGGCTTCTTGCCGTACCGCCTGGAACCCTCAGGACTGGGGGGGGGAAGGTGGGTCAGGTCTCTGCTTGGAGTCCAGCCCTTCCACAGCGACTCTCTGCACTGTGCCCCTTATCTAGAAGCTAAGCCGAAAGCAGCATGCGACACCTGGAAGATGAAACCCCCTTCTCGCCAGTACGAGGTGGCAAGAGAGACGCGACGCAAGGCTTCTTGCCGTACCGCCTGGGGAGGACAGGGAAGGGGGCAAGAAGCACGCGTTGCAGTCTGGTAACAAAGCTACCGACACAAACCTTCACCCAAAGCCACCACAGCCCCAGCAGCTTCCAAAACACACCCCACCATACAGACGTACTGCTCACGTGTGAGAAAGCGCTAGAGAAAGTCCCCAAAGCACCCCCGTAGCTGTAACACCATTTAGCACACTGCGGTACTTTGGGAATCAGAGGTGCACACCCGTAGGTTGTTTTTTTTTTTTTTTTCAGATCATGATATGAAAAAAAGTGACTGGCCGACAGGATAATGCAAAATAATTGATTTTATTTAAAATAAAAAGCAAAAACACAATCATCCAAACGACAATTAAGAGTATCCCAGCTCTGCTGGATGGGGTGATAAAAGCAGCTAATGGCAGTGGCAGGGCTTGGAGCCGACAGTGTGACTGTCAAACGAATCGGTACGCTCTTTCCTTCCCCCCTTTGCAAGGGGGATGCCAAAAACCTCCCATTACAATTAGCCCACACAGGCATTTTGGATTTGATTCAGTCAACGGTCTTGCTTCCTGCCCCACGATGGCTGGGGATTCAGGGAGGAAAAGGGTCTAGGTTAATTATGAAAGAGGTTGCTGTCTTTCTTCTAAGCATTTGGAGAGGCTTACTGTAACTGAGGAGACAAACTGGAGCCAGCGTACCCGAGCTGGAAAGGGGAGGAAGGTATGCCAGTGCTCCCTCGGCGTCACCTGCTCCCACAGCACTTGTGCAGAGAGCAGGTGCCGAGATCGGCGCGCCTGTTGTTCACATCTACAGTTCTGACGGGGTATTTATTCATCCACTCCTGAACTGTCACAGCAGACAAGCCTGTATTGGTTACCAGACTCAAAAGCGCGGCCAGAGCTCACAAATCCCTTTACCTTTCGCCAGAGCAGGCAGGACAATGACACCGATACGCACAGTACAATCGGGAAGCCCACAGTCCAAACCCAGCTCGTAGCTCTCTAAGCCTGTCCCTGGGGAGCAAGGCAGCCCACAAAGCACCACCGGGCTGACAGAGTGCCGGCGGGGGCCGAGGCAGAGCAGCGCTGCTGCTTTGGGGCTCAAGGAAACGAGGGGCCCACTGGGTCTGGGCGCCGGACCACAGCAGCCTGCTACATCCAGGGGCTCTACAGTACACAAAAGCAGTGGGGTCAGAACAAGAGACATGGATGCCCCAAGAAGCACAAGCCTGGAGAAGTGAGAGCACAAAACCCACTCTCCCCAGCCAGCCTCCCACAAGCATGGAGCTAGGCACAAGGGGAGCACAGTTTTTAACTTTATTCCTCATTCACCCAGCCTGGAACGAGGGCCTGGGAAGCACCAGCTCCCCCCCTTCCTGTAAGGCCAGTGAAGCTGACTCCCTGATGAGAGATAATTTATTCTAGTTCTATTTTAAAAAAATCCCGATCTAGCAGGACCTCCTGTTTAGAGCAGGCCATGAAATGCCAACAGTTAAACTCTGGTGAAAACAAAAAGCCTTGTTCTGCTACAATTTATGTACCACACAGCAATTCTGGAAGGGCCACCACAGAACACCACGTGGCCAAGAGTGCTGAACACATCCCCAGTGTTTTCTGCTACAAAAAGCTAACACCAGGTTAGGAAGTCTCAGGTTGCTTAGGATGTCTGGAACACTTTTTGTGGGAGGACGACTTCAAAGCATCTTACACAGTAATTACATTTCAGCCTCACAACATCCCTGTGAGGTAGGTATTTTCCTCATCTACTGAAACAAAGACAGAAGCTCACCAGTTTGGCTGAGGCAAGAGCCTGTAAGCGGAAGAACCAGAGATCCCAGGAGTCCCGATTCCCAGGTAGCCTAAACAGACACACCCTTGTTTCATATCAGAAAGTGCCTGGTGGAGAAGTCAGTATAGCGTTGCTGGTATCGCGGTGCCTGCAGTCCATTTCAAACACACTGCTTTTCTGTGAGGGACGTCAAACGAACACAGGCTTCAATCTGAAATTGTTTTATTTCATGCCATGGAAGAGTTCACAGGCATGGAAGAATACTCTGCACTCCGGATCTTCCCACTGTGCTTCTGGTGGTAGAGGTGTGGCTTTCCTGGCACAGCGATCAGGCTTTCACGCACATGTAAGATTTTAAGACTGCGAAACTGAACCGTGCATGCCAAATGCAATTGCAAGCTACAGCATAAGCCATCTTACTGACATACTAACTGTCAAGCCACCAAAGAGGGCAGCGGACAGTTCTCTAAGGGCTCCTCTCATGGTGACAGAGCTGAGACTTCTGGGCCTTCGCCTCTCCAGGCCCCCACATTCTTCCGAAAGTCAGCAGCTGCAGCCTGCTCTGTCTGAGAAGACACACAGATTGTGCAGGCTCCCAGGCTGTTCAACCAGGCAGGAAAAAAGGCAACTTTGGCCAGAAATGCCAGGAGTTTGAGAATTTTTTTTTTTTAAAATGAAGTAATCTTGTGGAAGAATGTGCAGCAGTCTACAGAGCAAGCGTGCTCACTTATGCCTGGCTATCACAGGAAATTCAGGAGTCCGGACAGCTAAAGAATGTACCAAAAAGCCTTCCTTCTCTCCATTTTTCCACCACCATGCTGCTCCTACACAAAGTGACTGGCACAGAAGATTCAGAAACAGAGATCCTGACAAATGTATTTAGGATTCCCTTGTACAACAGGACATTGCCCAGTCTCCAAGAAGGGAAAGAGTGTTTAAATAGGAAGAGACAAGGTTAGAAAAAAGATCAGAAAGCCCAGACAAGCAATGTTCTGGGTTCCATCAAACCCAACATGTATAAGAAAGTCACAGCTAAGGCTGCCAATCTGCTCTCTAATTCTGCTACCAGTGCCTGGGCATTATTGCATGTTTACTACACGCACACCACTTCTGTTTTCAAGTTTCCTCTCCCAAAGAAGAGCGGCTGAAGTGAGATCTAATACCCACCTCCTAGGTCTCAGGAGAGCACCCAAGGAAGCACCCCAACCCAGCTAGCTTCTGGCTGTGCTGTTCAGATAGAGAAGAAGGATCATTTCCTTGCAGCACACCTTCAGCTAGACAGACCTCTTCACTGACACTGCCAGCACAAGCCCCTGCTAAAAAAACCAGCAGCTCCAACAGATCCCTTGGGGATGAGAGCTTTACCCGGCATAATACGAACGCATCTACAGACTTAAGCAACACATTGCATTTTTAAAAAGCATAAAACAACAATATGTCCCCCTCCCAGTCCTTTAAAATTGGCACCGCAAGTTCCGGAAACGTCTGAACCCGTAACCTCAAAGAAAAGCCATTTAGGTATGTGAACTGCACAGGCCTGAACGAGCCCACAGCCCTGTAACTGCTTGGTATTTAAAGCCCAGCAACTGTTGTTATGATACAAGAGTCAGACTTTGTCAGTTGTTGCCTAGTGCTAAACATCACGCCTGCATGTAAAGGATTGTAGTTACTGGCAAATGCTGACTTTTTCCCCCACGGTTTTTGCTGTGCAAGAAACTCCAGGATTCTCCCGATCCATCGAGCTTCCTATCGCAAGGTGCTAGTGCATCTTAGTTACCAGGCATCGTAACAGACACAGAGCAAATGGACTGTTGCTGGTTAAGGTGTTGCACCTTGATGTACGCATGTAGATTAAGACCACGAAAGATGCTTCAGGTCGGCGGTCACCTCTGCTGAAGTTGCTTCAGTGTTTGGAGCATTCATACCACCTTCCCTTCCTGAAATTCTGGTGCGAGATCCGCCAGACGTTCAGAGAGGCCAAAAGGGCTGGTGTTCCTTTCCTCAAGTGTACAGGACAACATGTAAACATATGACAGTGTCAAAGCAAGGCAGGTTTTTACATTTACCTGCTGGTTTTAAAAAGAGTTCTTTAAAAACTGACCGTCGTCTTTCTTGCCAGTTACGTGAACCATTAAATACTTGGCATGTCCTTACCCAAAGCTGGGTTATTAGTGCACTCACTCGGGGCGCGGAGGGGACAAAGCATTGCACAATAATGTAGAGTCGGGGCATTCCCCTAGAAGTTATTAAGGAGCCAACCTTCGACAGCACATAATGAAGACGGATGTCTGGATCGAGGAAGAGTGACAAAAACTTAAGGACTCTGAGAAACAGAAGCAGAAGGGGGTAGAACAGAGCTGGCTGGCTGCTAATGGAGCTTCGATCGGCAGCTGCCTCTAGGTGGGTGTTGTTGTCTCTCAGGGGTAGCTGCGGCCTCCACAAGATTCCCTAATCCTGTCAAAAAAAGTACAACTGCCTGTCAACAACTATAGCATTTCCCCTCATATCAGGACAAAAAAGATTGCAGCATGCAGGTTAATTGTATGCTTATTCTTCCTACAGAATTGTACAAGCTAGATAAGATTTTATGTTTGGAACTGTTTCTATCAACTACTCCATCACACAGCTGGAGCAGAAAGCCCACCCATCCTCACAGAGCAAAACAGCGAAACCTGGAAAGCAAGTCTTCTAGGCAATGTGCTAATTTTTAATATTTAAGGTATTTATTTCAAAATTTGAAGTGCGAACAACTTAAAAATGCACGGGATTTTCAGAAGGACAGATCTGCACGTGTGCTCTGCATTTGTATAGCTTTTTTTATTTCCTAAAAACAGGGTCTGCATTAAGGTTCGTTATCTCCTGCTGCTCATTCCCTGCCTGAAGTCACACTGGCTGCTGAAATGGGATTTGACAACATCCTAACAAACAAATTGGTAAAACCTCCAGGGCAAAATAAGCAGTCAGTACAGTTCTCTCCCAACTGTTTAATGATGCTCTGTGCTTGTAATTCAATTGTATTCAGTTATGAGCAACTCCTGAAACCAAGAGAGCAGTATATCACAGCAAGATAAATGGCAACACGTACAGGAGCAACCAGGTCTTTAGGCAGTTCCCTACACTGGGAAGTCAGGCATGATACTGGGAATCTGGACTTCCTCAGGTAAATTACTATTGCACACCTTCTTTAGCAGGCCACAGCACTCGCATCCATGCCAAACCTGGAGTATCCAAGAGCTCAGTAACTAGACAGCACCCTAATGCAGGCAGGCAGCTAATACAGCGGCATCGGTTAACCAAACTGGAAGGAGCTTGCTTCAGAATTTTGGCAAGCCTCTGCCATATGAGAAAAATGCTTCATTTAGCAAAGAATTTCTAAGTTTCTCCCTGCAGTATACTCCCAGATTCCCAGTGTTTCACTGTTTTTAACCTGGCAAGTCCAGTGAACTTCCTTCCTCGGCAACTTTACGCTAAGCAATATCTATTCTTGGTTCTGCAATATTAATGTTCCCTCCCTCCAGACTGACAGAAACTTGCTCTTTTTTCTTTCTTTTTTTTTTTTAATAGGTAAACACAGACATTTGGGATTTGGGATAAATGTTGCCTTTAACAGATAAAGCAGTGGGCCAAATTGAAGTAATCCAGGCAACAATAAGAGAAACCACACAACTACTTGAAGGTTTTCCATTTGGACAACAAGGCATCGAAACCTGAGTCTTGCCTGATCGTTCCTCATCTTTAACTGTTTACTATTCATTTGTGCTCTCTGAAGAACACAGTTAAAATATCCCACCTCTCCCATTAAAAAAAAAAAAACTTTCTCTATTAAAAGAGACAACTAGGAAAAGTAATAAAACTGTTTATTAAATAAAGTAAAAAACCTCATTTAAAAAAAAATATCAAGAATCTTAGTTTTCAGTTTAGAGCAATTAAAATAGTTCATGGAGGGAAGACATCACCACTGGCCAACTGCTGTACATTCTGCAAGGGACCCCTTGCTCTCCATCCCTCTGTCCTGATGAATCACCCTGTCTTAACTCTGCCAGCTCTGCCTTGTATTGTCTTTTGCTTGTTTAAAAAAAAACAGTTGCCATCGGGTCACCTGGAGGAGCTGCGCTCTTTGCTCACACAGTCGTCCTGGGAAGTTGTATCACCGTTACCCATCATGCTGCACGTTCTCCTCTTTTTCCTCCGGTGCATCATCCCCTCTGTCTCAGAGCCAGAGTCACACTGAAGTATGAAGAGATGAAACCAGAATTCAGAGAAACCTAGTAAACTGTTTGTGCTGTGGAATTCACCGTAAGAGCTACCTCAGCAACCCTGAATAATCAATACTCACAGAACGTGCTATTTTAGATTAGACACGTGAAATAAATTTTAAATTAAGCGTTTAAAAAACAGGAGCAGGTATATTCTTAGATTTCATCACTGACTAAGCTGGCTTGGGGCAAGTCAACTGATACGTTCATTTTTGCTCCTAGAAGGACCTAATTTTCCGAGAGCAGACTCGGTGCTTTCTGTAGCACTTAGGTGCCTAGAAACGTCCCCTGTCATAACTGACAGTCTCGGTTTTGGACCTTGTTCCCCCTCCCCATTTTTAAAACATCCACTTTGCAGCCATTTTACACAAGCATGGCTTAGCTAAATGAGTGACAGATTTATATACAATATGAACACAGATCAAACAAACCAAATTCATTTAGCAATACAAAGGGAGGCTTCAGCAAACAGAACCTGCTAAGACCACAGGCTCCTCCACCATGTAGATTTGTTTAGTTGCTTTCTATTAATTTCTTCCATAAGACATGAATATTAGGATGAGGACATGCGATCAGGTATGGAAAAAAACAATATAATTGCAGGATATGGATCACCTACTGTAGTAAAAAGCATTACCTCCGAATCAGAGTCTGAGGAGCTGGAACTTGAGGAACTGGAAGAATCGCTGGAACTATCGGAAGCAATACCAGTAGATTCCTGCAGGTCAACTGAATCAGCCAAGGCTGCCAAGTCAGGATGTTCCTGCTTTAGGATCCTAAATACAGTTGAAATTTCAGGGTTAGCCTTTGAACGGTAACACTGCATGTAAATGAATAGGGTATTTTTGGGTTTTGTTTTAAATAGAGAATATGAAAAGAAAGCTACTAAATCTCTTACCTGTACCATTTCCGTGACAATTTGGGTCTCCCTCTTACTGTCTTGTGCCACACCACAGGGAAGTTGGTACAACTGGCAAAATTTTGCGTGATGGCAATAGTTGTGTCAAGATTGAGAACTACATGCCACCAGCCACCTATAAATACAACACCAATGACGATTTCTGGCTACGTAGCCGAAAGCAAGTTCAAGAACAGCCGTGTACACTTTTTCCACAGCACAGGTGGAAATTGGACCTTATCCCCCAAACCCAGGTGAGTCTGCCACCACATCGTCTTTCCTCAAGTCTTATTTCAGGATTCGCTCCAATGCTTTAGATTCTTGTTAGAGAAGGCTGCTCAATGCTCTGACCAAATTATCCAGCTCATGAGCAGTACTGAAGATCTGACTTGACAGCAACACACTTGCTACTGATGGCTTATTTAATAGCAAGAGCCATTGTAACCCAGCCCGCACAGAGACCCTCTCTGTTAAGCTGGAGAGCACTTTCCATGCTGATTTAGTAAGGTTCTTATGACTACAGACTAACCTTTCATTTAAAAATAGATGCAAAATTGTTTCCCCACACAGGATAAAAATAGACAGTGGTGTTCTTACAACCCACTTATAACCTCATAAAAAGACGAAGGAAACAGTTTAATGGAACCTGACAGCTACAAAATCTTAACAGAAGGTACACTGAGGAGTCACTAATAAGTGCCAAGACAATCACAAGGCACTCTTCAAACATGAAGTCAGCTGTATGTTAGAGACAAGCAATGTGGATAGAAGCTATGGGCCATACTGCACAAAAATAACGCAAGGGTTAGAGGTTAGAATTTGGCACTGAACTCACCTGCTTTATCCACTAGCCACCTCACCTCCCAGTTACAACGGGCACACAATGTGCAGCCACTCAAAGAGAATGGCATCCTTATCAGATCTTTCTTTAGCTTTTGATTTTAAATGCAAGATGAAGCATAACCACAGAGAGGTGGGTGGAAAGTGTCAGTGCCTTGAAGTAGTTCTTTTCCCACAGCTAAGAAATATTCATATGCAGTCAGACTACCCAGGCTGCAAAATTCAGTCATGAATCTGCTCCAGTGTATGTAAACTCAAACATTTTTGTCTAAGAAGTTACTTGTACTCAAACACCTCTATTATTTTATGCCTTGATGGTTTCCTATTACTGCAATTTATTTCAGGATCACACTCCTGTGATGCTGCAACTGAGGTCCCATTTGTATTGTCATCTGTACCACATGCAATCCTATGCTACAGGCCATATACATTTCAGGACATTCAGAAAATAACTGAATAGTCTCAAAGAGCGCCTCGCAATATATATGCCTTTTGAAACAGCTCAGAATAGTTTCTTTTGTAAGAGAGAGCCCATATAAGAAAGCTAAACATTCTCTTCGTCTCTACTACACACAAACATTAGAAATATGCTTTTCTCTCCCAGAATTCCTTACTGGAGAGATTCGTACATACCTGGCACAAAGACCGTCTCGCCTGGTTTCTGCAAGATTTCCAGGGGTTTGAATTCAGGGGGCCAGGTGGGGAGCTGCGTCCTAGGGTAGATGACATTGAACCAAGTGATAGCCTCATCCTGCTGGTTCCCTCCCTCTTCTCGCGTCACTTTGATCAGCTCTCTGGGAGTGCTGGTAGGGAACAGGCACCAACGCTTATGTCCCTGGACCAAGGCATTCCACGCACTAGTTCCCAAGGGATCGATGTGAATTCCTGTTCCAGAACGAGGTGGGCCCATCACAAACCATCTGCATGGGGGGAAAAAAATCCTTTAGTCATAGAGCAAGCAAGTAGCTATCTTATCTTTCCTTCGTATTAGACAGAAAATTACAGCTGTTTATTTCACGTACAGTTAGAAATCAAGGTAGTTACAGTTCCTTAATTTATCTTCTTGAGATTGTTAGGCTCACACTACAGCAAAAAGATACAAAACGGCTTTAGCCTAAAAATCAACATGAATTGGGACAGGAATGACTCTGGGACAAGAAAGGGAAGATAGCTTTTTATATTTCATAGCTGTATTTTGTTTTAAACAGTTCTTCAATAAAATATATACTTATTTCAAGGTTTATGGATGTGATTAAATCACATTCATAAACAGCCTGCGTTAGGATTCTTACTGTGCAGGGGGATTCTCCTAATCCTACGTTTTTCTAAAATTCGCTAGTCATAAATGGATCCAGAACTGCAGAACAATGAGGAACAAACAAAAGGCGATACAAGTAAGGAACAGAGCAAAGTTATGCAACCCTGGCCTCCCTCTATGCCTTCTGTTCATTTACAAGAGGCTTTTCATTCTAACATTTAACCAGTTAGAGCTTATTCTCCAGTGAGCATTCAGGATTTGGTATGTATATTCTCATTCCCCATTTGCAAGGTTTATTTCTCCCTATGGAGAACTTTATCTGCTACACATGTTTAACAGCAACAGCACCTTCAATTGCACGTTTCCCCTGTAACGGAACAGTAAGATCTACCATACCAGATAAAGGTAAGTGAGGTGACTTAGTATCAGGTGTCAAGAGAAAAAGAAATGGCAGTAATTGTTTATTGGGTGGCAGGGAGGGTAGAAACTAAAGCACCAACAAGATCCCTGCATCGCGTGGCTGACAGGCAGGCGATACCCAGCAAGAGGCGTTCAAAGGTTCAGAAAAAAAAAATCGGAAGCCAGCAAGCTCTCCATCTCCCCTTTCCAATGCAGGTGTAAATTAAGCTGGTTTCCAAGTACCACTTGCTAGCGCCAATTGTAGGACTGTAAGTTGGGTTATCAAGCTGCGCTCTTCCTACTTCATAAAGGAGCCATAAAAACGTAAATAGGCAGGTCTTTGTCACTACTATTGTCAATTCACTCTTTAGATTCATATTAACTTTGGAAAGCTAATAAAACTACAAGCAGAACAGTCAAAGCTTTTACTAAGAAGTCAGAGGAAATTAAACACAAAGATCTGTCTGGTACACAGACAAGACCGCTGTTCAATACCATTTTTCTGACCATAACCTGAATCTACACACGCGGAAGATTTTAAAGTCCTTATTTAGCAACACTATCATTTACCAGCATCTTCCTCTGGGCATTTAATTGACAATGAACATAACCCAGTTTGCCACAAGACATCAAATTGACCGTTAAAAATTTCACAACCTGTAACTTCAATTTAAAAGCAGAAAACCCCAATCCCCAACCCCCCAAACTAAAATAGCTGCTTCAGTAAATGGCTTCCAAAAATTATTGCTTTTATTTTAAAGAGGAACAACTCCAATAAAGATGCTTTAAACAGCACGAGTTCTTATTTTAAGATCTATACACTATCACACACACCTCAATCCAGAGGTCAATCTCTGCAGTACATATCCTGATCATATGATTAGAAAGCACCACTTGCTGTTAGATTTTCAATTACGCTCTTAAACTACTGGACACTCTTCATCCATTTCTGTACCTAGATGAAACCCCTAACTCCAGGAGGCATCAGTGTGCTCTCTTGCATCACTCATCTCTCAAAAAACGGTAACGGCCTCAAACAAACCCACATTTTCCAGAACAAAGTACAAGAATTGTGAATACCATGAACACAAGCAAGGAGCTCAGCATGTGCCTGTAGGTGGGGAGAGTGTGGAGGAAAGAGATATCAGTGTAAGTGAGTCACAACCAGATTATCTAGTTTACCTATAACTTGGATAAATGATTGCCCGTTCTGTAAGTGTATTCAGTTTCTACTAGAGACTACACCTGGTGTGCTTTTGCGTTTGATCACAGCATTGTATGTTCTTAGAAGCGAATTATAAAAAGGGTCTGTTACAACACTGTAAAAACACCTACTTCAGTGATCTTAAACAGGTATTAGTTTCATGCTTCACTCCTGCAAAAGCACAACTGGGCTATAGACACGTGAAAGACTGCAGAGAAGAGTATCATTATTCATTCCTTGTTCTACTTTACTAAAAAACCCAAAACAATAAAAAACCCACATCACAGCCTCACATCACTCAAAGGGCAAGGCATTCTCTGACAATTATAATGTGGCTGTAAAGACTTTAATTACTTGGGAGCGTTCAGCTTATGCTCATTCTGCTATGAAGCATTATATTAACATAGATACAAAAGGGATTTCTGTCTAACACCCCAAATACAAGGTTGTTGCATTTGATTTCAGGAATGAAGTGTCATTTCAATCCTTTTTCAATCAGATGCAAAAATAAGAGTTGAAAAGACTACATAGATGTGAAATATTGTTGTCTCTCAAAATCATCTGAAGGGGAGCTAAGAACTAGTCTCCACACTTCATACTAATCTAGCTTAAGATCTTTACCTTAAAAGGACTGACTCATAATTCAACAAAATCCCACTATGCACATAAGCCACTGCTGCAAAACCCAGGAACTTGTCCTGAGGTACTTACAATTTGAAAGCCAGAAGGCACACCTAACAAGAAATTAACCTTCATTACTTTCAGTAACTACGTGATTTTTTTTAAAATCTAAGAAGTGAGGTAAACTGACTTGAAAAAAAAGAAAAAAAAACCCCATAAACTTGTAGCAACACTGGTGGCAGAACCAGAAACTGTGATACGCAAATCTGCCCTTCCCTCCCTCTGGGTTACAGATGTACGCTCATTTCAAAATAGCGGACGTAAAGCTATCACTTTGTTTTATACAAGACAATCATACCTGTTTAGGAATAGCTAATGAGATAGAAGATACCTACTTTTATCTTGCTGTCACTGTACTATACCTGTAAGGCGGCCTTCGTTTCTCCCCCGCATACTGAAACAGATCATCAGTGAAGAATTTGGGTACTTTGTAGTCCTCCAGAAGTTTCCTGCGCTTGGGATGCTCTCCATAACTGCTGTCAAAGATGTAGAGCGGGCTGTCATCACGTGTGGTTTCCATATACTCTATGTAGTACTTCATCTTCATCTTCACAGAATAACCGTCATTGTCCTCCCCACATTTGAACTTCTGGTTCCTATACTTGCGTTTCAGTCGTTCCAGAGTCCACTTCTCTTGGGCAGACCAGCCCACCTGAGCATTCAGCAAGACTACAGGCTTGTAAGGTTTTTCATAACGCTCAACAAATTCCTCCACTGTTAATTGGAGCGCATCTGCCCTCTCCACATTATCCTGTGAAACCAAGAGAGGAATACAGACCAGATATTAGGACAGACTAACGTCCTAGTACTGCGCTTTCTAAGTCGGCGTGGAGGAGCTTCACACTCATACTTTGTTCCATACACCACCAGGGTATCAAGCTGCCTACGTGTTATTTTAAGCTCCCCGAGGCCGCAGTCCTATTTCTCATGCCCCGCTCCTCGCACCCATCAGTAACACCAGCAGGCTGAAGCCGTTTGGCGCTCCTCCCCGCCGAGGTAACTGCCCAGGCGGAGAGGCCACCCCTGCCCTTTCGGCTGACACATCCCCTGCTGCCTTTCACCCCCCTCGCCGCCCGCGGGACCCCGGGGAAGGCGCCTGGGAATTACGTGGGCGCTCCGGCACTGAGGGTGCCCTTCCCACCGCGACGGGGCCCCGACCCCCCCGCCACCCCTCGCCAGGCGGAGGGAGGAGGGAGGAAGGGTGCTGCTTGACCTCCCCCCTCCCCGCCGCTCTCCCTCAGGGTCCCCTCCCC